CATGGGGAATCCAGGAGATAGCAACATTATCTGTTGATGACAACATGTATGGTAATTTCTTTGACTGGATTAACATATAGGCTATTCATGCTGGGAAAACTCATTTTCAGTGTTGCAAGGATATACAGTGATTGAATGTAAAAAAAAAAATAATGAAAAAGAAACATTTCCAAAGATTGTAAAGAAAATGTCTGACTTCAGTGTATGCCTTTAAAAATATTTGTATAATAATAAGATCTATGGGATATTATCCTCAAGATTATTAGGAAAATGTGAAAAGGAGTGTAATGGTGGTCATGAATATAATTGGAGCATAATGCTGTTGATACATGATCACTGTAAGGAATGGAGATGAGCACATGTGCTTATTACTAATAGCTAACACTGAACAGTTACAGCTGAGCGATGACTGTCTTTCAAAGATATAGACTTGATCTTCCAGAAAACATGTGTGGCAGGTGCTATTCTTCTCGTTTTACTGATGAGTAAACTGAAACACAAATTAAGTAACCTGTTCTAGGTCACAAAGCTGGTAAGTGGTAGAGTTGAGATTTGAACTTGGATAGGCTATAGTTTCTGTGTGTGTGTGTCTTTAAAGAGATTTTTTTTTGTTATAGAGCACATGTACTTGCTGGAGAGACAGAGAGAGACAGAGAGACAGAAAGTGAGAAATCACCTCCTGGGCGGATGGCCATGCTGAAGTCCCTTCTCCTCCATTCTCCTCTTGAGATTTTGGGCATACACACATGCATACCCAGTGTGAGTTTTAAGTTACCGGGTCCAATACTCGAACTGCAGTTGACTACATGGGAGTCCAGCATTGTAACCATTATGCCATCTGCTGCTCCCAAGTTTCTGTGTTCTTAAATAATGTAATACACTCTGTGTTTAAAGTTGAGAGAATCCTCTGCAGTATATAACCTCTATTGCCAGATTTATTCCAAAGTCAAGGGCATAGCCCATAGATCACAACATTTCCAAGAGATTCTATAATTTGTGTATCTGTATCACAGGCAGCAAGACTAGGTTTCAACAATGACTTAAGTTTCCTTACTTGCAAAATTCAGCAAATTGTATCTCAGCATTCACTGATTAAAGTCATGATCTCAGTTTTAATTGATTGGCTGGTTTATATGCTGAAAATTCAATATTGATATTTACAAGTGAGTACATTGGCTTTGATTAATTGCTGAATTTAATTCAGCACAGAATACTGATTCTCTAATCAGCATTGCTGATTTAATAATCAAGTACTCCTGTTTTCCAGATAATGACATTAGGTACCCAAAATGACAATTTGGAGATTGACACATTTCCTTTTAATTGAACTATAAACCTGTTCCAAGAAACTATTCCCTCTGGTCTCTGGCTCGCTCTTCTTCCATTGCCCTCACAGGCACCGCGTTAAGTCTTGCAAGACTGTGTTTTTAGTGGCTATAGTGATGAATATAACAGGATGATCATGACCTCTTCTCCCTTACTGTAATTACATTCTGAGAGATTTCCAATGTATCCGATCTTCTTAAACAATTATTTCTGAGTTGGACTGGAAATGTTTTACAGCAGTATTCAAATTTGAACTCATTACACAATCACTTTGTGTACAGCCATGCAGCCAAATGTCACTAATTTAGAAAAATTGTGGAGCTCTGAGTTTAAGTTATGAATTATAAATGCTTTTTTGAGTATGAATTATAAATGATTTTTTGTTGTATGTTTATTGCACATAGCTCCATGTAATGGCCCATACTACTTTTAACTGAAGACTTGCCAGGTATACTTAAATTTCAAGGAAGTGTGTTGATGACTTGGTTGGGCAGCAGCTGTTTATTGAACACCTACCTTGTACCAGACCTGAGGTAGGGGTTCAGTTACAGTAGTGAGTAAAGTGCAGAGCTAGCCCCACTGGAGGAAACCATCTAATAGGATACTGCCAGATTTGATAAGATTATTACCCAAGTGGATCACATTTATTTCTTTGGGTGTTAATGTTAGAGAAAGATTTTTTTTTTCTAGTTCGGGAAATTTTAGTCTATTTTATGTAATTGACTAAATTTAAAATTAATTGGTTTTGCTTGATCTGAAATTTATGTAACCTTAGCCATTTAGCCTTTTACCATGTGACAAGATTAAGCTCTTCAGAAAGTTTGAAGAAGGGCCAGCTAGGTTGCATGGTGGTTAAGGTGGCCAGATCCCACATAGCTGACTAGTGGTTCAAGTCTTGGACCCAGCAGCTTGAAAAAACATGCTGGGGGTATGTGCGTGCATGCCCAAAATCCCAAGAGGAAAATGGAGGAGAAGGGATTGCAGTGTGGTTATCTCCCTGGAGGAGGGTAGTTTCTCACTTTCTCTTTCTCTCTCTGTCTCTCTCTCTCTGGTGAGTACATAGCCTTGTAGCAAAACAAACAAATGAACAGAAAACAAGAACTGCAGCCCATCCTAGAGAAATCTAGGGGATCATCATTTATTATAATGGTTTCAAACTCAATTTTTATCTCTAAATTTTGAGTTCAAAATACAAAAATTATTTATGCTTAAAAACAACACAACTGGATTGAAGTCCCAGTACAAATCAGATCAGCTTTCACTGGAGTCAAATCCATGAAGATTTTCTTCATTTATAGGTGTAATCTTGGTGCTAACCCAGTGATAGGAGACAGCATAGAGATGTGTGAACTAATTAGTATTTCTTAAGTAAATGATCTGTTTTCTCATACTGAGTGACCCTGATACATGGACACTTTGAATTTTCTCTTCTTTATTGATGGAAGCATGTAATTATTAATAATAATTAGTATATCATTAATTTAATGTTTATCTTGTACCTATTTAGTTAATATAGTTATTTCTTTTTAGAGCAATTCTATAAGGTCTAGTTATCTTCATTTTGCAGGTGAGGAAACTGAAACTCAAGGGAATATAGGGTTGCACAATGGAGCACACCTAATAATTAGCAGTACAGGATTAGAGTGTATGCCTCCATTGCTTCAAAACTCAAGCTTGTCCACATGTTATGTTGTTTAACTTAAGGAGGCAAGAGGGTGGATCCAGTGATGGCATAGTTAGAAAGAGCAGCATGCACAGATAACCAGAGGGCATTCCAGCATTGTTCTGAAGCAAAGCAAAGCTGATAGAATAGCCTATTATGGTCATTATTTAATTGTGCTTCTTCCAGGGCACAGGAAGTTCCTGTCTGCCTGCGTCAAGCCTTGATGCAGAAAAATTTAATACCTCTGACTAAAACAAACCTGTTGTTAAATGACTTCACATTGTAGAAACCTTGATTTACACACATACAAACTTTTCAAGATGCATGTTATGTATGAACAGATAGGTGCATATGATTCATATACAGGAATGAATTCTTGAGTGCTTTAAGTGTGGCTTTTGACAGTCAAAGTGAGATTGGCTGTGTATAAGAATGTAGAAAAGGGCCTTTGTGAATACACACATGATGACATCATTGTCAAGAGGAAACACTTAAGTTCCTTTGGGAAGTATGTTTTACATGAGTCACTCCAATTCTGAAGTCGTTTATCCTAATATTTTCCTGTTTTACCCCTCATAGCATAAATAGAACTTTAAGGAAGATTGCTGGTGACCTGGCAGTTAGACAACAGCCTCAACCATCTTGGGCAAATCTTGGAATTTCTTTAAACTAGTCATGAAAAGCCAGTACAGTTCACCAACTTTAGACATTTTGTCAAGAAATGTGTATCACTGATGTTTGTCAAAATGTACCTGTTCTGGGAACCAGCAGTTAGCGTAATGGCTATGTCGTTGGATTCCCACGTAGTCGACCGCGGTTCGCGTCCCGGACCCGGTGACTTAAAACTCACGCTGGGCACGTGTGTGTGCGTGCCCAAGATCCCGAGAGGAGAATGGAGGAGAAGGGATTGCTGTGTGACCATCCCCCCTGGGGGGTGATTTCTCGCTTTCTATCTCTGTCTCTCTCTGTCTGTCTGGCGAGCGCACGCGCCCTATAGCGAAAACCTCTCAAAAAAAAAAATGTACCTGTTCTGGAGCTGGCCCCATAGTCTAGAGGTTAAGGGAGCCAGATCCCACGTGACAAACCACATTGTTTGAATGCCAGCTGTTCATAGCTTGAAAACCATGCAGGGTATGTATGCATGCATCCCTCAAATTCCAACAGGATGGAGAAATGGAGGGTAAGTGACTACAGCATGCTCACACTTCATTTGTGGGTGCTTCTCTCTCTCTCTCTCCCCCTCTTTCTCTCTGTTTATCTCTCTCTGGCAAATGCACATGCCCTCTAGAAGAAAATTTAAAATGTTGTAAATTAAAAAAAAAAACAAAACTTAGAGCCAGCAGGTGGTGTGGACATTCCCACATGACTGACTGTAGTTCGAGTCCCAGACCTGGCAGCTTGCTTTCTCACTTTGCCTTTCTCTCTCTGGCCAAATTAAAATAAATGAATGAATAAATAAAATTTAAAAAAATTAAAGAACCCTTTTGAAGCCTATTCTTGGAACTGTTTGTACTTCTATAGGTAGAACTCTTTTCCTCCCCCTATACAAAATATCTTGGGCCAAAATGGAAGACAGTGTTGGGTGAGTTCTCATCAGTAGATTTATTCAAGGATTCTGTATTCATCCAATGTATGTTTGAGGAAGTGGGGTTTAAAATTTTTTATTTGTTTATTTTTTTAAAGAGAGAGTCTTTCTGTCACAATTCTTCTCCCTTAGCCTCCCAACTGGAACTACAGTGCATGCCACCACACCTGGCTTTCTTTTTACACAAGTCTTGTCATGTTACCTAGGCTAGTCTCAAGCTGTTATCCTTCTGCCTCAGCCTCCTCCGTAGCTGGGATTACAGAGACATGTTACCTTGTTTGGCCTTTAGGTTGGACTGGGAATCAAATCTCGGTCTCCCATGTGGTACTAGCCTGTAGAGCACAGTGTCTTAGCAGCATGTGCCACCACAGTTGGGCCCAAATGAGTGGATTTTGTTTGAAATTTGTTGAACCAAGATCTACTTACTATGAGAGGTAGCAAGTTGAGTATGCTTTGTGACGCAAAATGACTGAGGTTCAAAACCTGGTTCTGCTACCTTCAAGCTGGGCAGACAAGGAAAACAAACAAACAAACAATGAAATATGAAACTAAACAAACTTAATTTTCATGGACTTTAGTTTCCCTTAACTGAAAAAATGTTACCCAATAACGTTTATCTTGGGTGGTTTTTTGTTTTGTTTTGTTTTTGTTTTTTGTAAAGTTCTAGTTCTACTTGATACTGACATTACTGAAAGCAAAGAGGAGATTTCATCCTATATATTATTTGTTTATGAGGATGAAGAAAGAGAACTCATATGTATTGGACATCTTCTGAAGCAAGTCCTTTGGTAGATCTACTATACGTACTGTCTCATTTGGCCTCTCGACAGTAGTGGAAAGAATATGGCTTGATACTGGAATCACATCAACTTAGGAATGAACCCTGTCCATGTAATTTCCAGGCTACTGGATGAGGGAGGAGAAGAGAATGTTGCATCTTTTGACAATGGTGGCCTAGAAAAGTGAGGAGTAGCATCTCTAGAAACCAGAATTCGTTTTCGGAGGTAGGGACTTACATAAATTGCCCAGCTTCCAAAATTCCTCAAGTGATACTTGGACTTTGCTTCCTATAGAAATAATGGCAAACTATAAATACGAATTTGATAGTTTTAATGTACTAAGAGTTAAATGTGATTTGGTTATCTATTGGTTTTATGTGAAAAATAAAATACAAACCTAATAAATGAACTTCTGTAACAAAACGTGTTCATGAGACTTTAATCATAGAGTAAAATTTTAGTTTTATTTCTCATTCAAGAACCGTTTAGAATGGAGAAAATAAGAAATTAGTTTATGATATGATACCTTCCTGTGGTGGTTAAAATTAAATTTACTGACATCAAACCTAGGTTTTAAATCTGATTAATCAGTTACTCAGATCATAAGAGTTACGTAAATGTGTTTTATGGACTTCGGCTTGCAACACATTAAGTAACAGTGTCAGCTTATCATAAAAGCTTCACATATCCTAACTGGCATTAAAGGCTTGTTTCTGATATGCTTTATGGTATAGTGATAGCTTACGTAAGGCCACAATGTAAAATATTTCTCAGAAAGTAATGGTGATCCTGAAGTGAGAGGTGACAAGCTTGTATGTATATGTTTGGTTAATAGTAAGAGTCATTTTTAGGCCCATTAATGATGGTGTGGCTATAGCATAATATTCTACAATGCTGGCAGCCATATGGAGGAGTGGGGTTTGGTTCCTGGGTTGACTTGTACATGCAGAGCATGTACATGTGATTCAGGCTGTTTGCAAAGACTGGGGATTGTAGATGAGGCCCTGTTGAGGCTTCTTACCTCTCTCTTTCTCTTTCATGAAATAAGCTTTTTTTTTTTCTTTATGACTTTAAAGTCCAGGGCAGTTGGGTGAACTGGGGAAGATGAATCTACTTGGTAATGGTTCATTTTTTGATGGTAACATTTTTAAAAGCTATTTAAAAAATAGCTTTCAGAAGAATGTGAACTAATGAAGGAGGCTACCATGAATCCCAGGAAAGGTTATCGTAGACTGACCATATCGCTGTCTAAGGACATGAAGAATGTTTTCTGACAGCCGGATGTTTTTGAGGATGTTCTGGGGTTTTAGCAATGGAGTTTGAAGCTGGTTCCTTCATAGTTATGGATGGCTCAATGTCACCTCCATGTCTAGACATCTAATGGTTGCTTCTTATGTGGTTGTGACATCTTCTACACTTTGCCCAAGAGAGAAAAAGATTGTTTCTTTTTCTTTCAGTTCTTGCTCTTTATATATTTGCATAGGTCCTGGAAGAGTTACACTGTTCACACCATTTGTTTTACCATTTGTTGCATGTGACATTTGAAAAACCAAAGACCTAGAGACATTACTTACTCCAAATCCCATCCAACTTAGTATTTGCTGTTTCTAGTTTCAGCCACTGTTTCACCTACACTTACAGTCTCCAGTGAGATAGGGAAATGCTTTGGCTAAAACTCCATGACCATGTTAACTGATAGAATTGTTTGCTGAGCAAGTGCTTGCTTATTTTGACAAAGGGAGTTTAGCTGCCTCCAAATATAGAAACTAGTTTCTGATTGACCAAAGACCAGTTTAGAACACTTAGAGGTTAGCACACCTTCTTACTAGAATTTAGTTTTAAGTTACTCAGTATTGTCAGGTGCAAACACCAGAAGCAATAAGAAATGCTAGTACTTATTTAAGATTTAACATTTATTTTGGAAAAATTATTTTCAGACAAAAATGGCTTTCCTCCATTCCCACTTGTAACAAGGCCTTTGCAAAGTTGGTCAACAGTGATAACTTTACGGTGAGAACCAAATCAGTTCAAACCAGACAAATCAAGCAAAGATCCCCCCCCCCCAAATAAAATCTACTTCAGCATTTGAGAATGCTCATTAAGAATGTACCCTAAAGGTGGCAAAAGAAAAATGGGTTCTATCATCAGAGTTATTCCCATAAGTTATAACTGTGTGGTCTACAGCACACTACACTATCGGGTTGTTGGAAAAGTCATGATGTGTTGTTCTGTTTTTTCTATACAAAAATGTGTCATGGATGTTCTGATGACCCAATATTAGAAAAAAGATCCAGCCAGGATTCATCCAGGATTAAATATGGAAGCAAGGATATGTGGATAACTGCACACATTTTTCAGGAAGAACGAATTAATTCTATCTGATTTTCCACTTCCACTTTGGTATCATAGGTCTGTACAGGCAGAAAACACTAAGACTGCTGTAGCCCTCTTCTTCCACAGCTTGAATGATTTGTCTCTTGAATTTAGACCTGCAAGAGTTCTTAATCCTTGCAAGGGTGGTGACTTTTTTTTTTTTTTTGGGGAGGTTTTTCACTATAGGGCGCGTGCGCTCGCC